ATCAAAGTTTAGTCTTCGTTTGACTTTGTTTTACATAGAAATTGTCAATTAAAGTGAATTTTTTTTTTACAATTAGTGATGAAATTTATTTTTATTGTAAAAAAAAATGAAAAAATGAAACGTGAACTTGAAAAATCATTTCCCACCAAGGCAAACTGGCGCGTGAGCCAGCTACCATGAAAACAAAAGCCTGGGAAAATATGGCACAACAAACAAGCCAAAATCAAGGAAAATCAATTCTTTTTCCAAGTTCCAAGGAAAATGTGGGTTTTCAAACAGGGCCTACATGTTAATGGACAATGGAAAACAAAGATTTTTGCTCTCTTACCCTCTCTTCTCCCTTCTCACTGGCAAACGTTTACTGTTGGCCACGAATGGTATAAAACACTTGATCTAAAAGTTTAAGCGGTTAGAGAATACACATTTATTAGTTAGCATTTAATCTTCAACTCACTCTCAGTCCAAACCCGATTAATGTTTTATCAAAGGCCTACCACGTACATAATTTTTGCAAAGGCAGTGAGACGAAGTGTAGACCTGTTCTAGCTTGTTTTTATATCAAATTGAATTACTTCATCTTAAACTTAAATTGGAACGATTACACACGTTTGTTTAATTAAATTTAATCTTCGACCAATCTTCTTTCTTTGTGGGTGCGCGTGCTATATCTTTCTTCTATTTCCACGTCGTTTTCTCCAGGTGGGATGGGGTAGAATACTTGAAATTTTCTACAAAATGCTCCACAAGAGATGTACTGTGCTTGAAAACCTGTGCTACTAATATGTATCACGAACATGTTAAAACAATAATTGCAATTCATTTGAGAGGTGCAGAGTTTAAAATTCAAGGGAATATATAAAAAGGACAATCTGAACTCATACTAGGACCATTTTACACCTCATTCATCCTCATACCAGAGTGTACCACAAGGGATGTTGGAAGCAATCTTGAAGGACAAAATTGTCATTTTGTTCTCACTCGAACAAAAGGAAAAGTATCTTTGTCCCACGGAGAAAGATGCAAGTTACAGACTATCGTATTCTTGAAATTATTTTTCATGATATATGTACTGAGAATATGACAAGCCGTGAATCTATTCAAGTAGTGACAATCATCAAGAAATTGTAGTAGTCAAGAAAAAAATCAGTAAAACATAAAGTTTCATAAACCACCAGATGATACTGGATACCCCTTCGTCCAAGAAAAAAATAAGTAGATCAAATTAAAAAAATGTCAAATTGATATAGATCATAATAACTGGAAACTCAGAGGTACTGCAAGCTACACAACTTCAAGCACTTGTGTTGACGGAAACAAGTGCACACGGTAGCATCACACATAATCCAGTCAACATCAGATTTGGAAAGAAGAAGCTGTTATGCAA